ATGGCATTTTATATGGACTATGTCATAACATGTGATGATCCCCCACAGCTGTTTGTGAACCTTAAACTCATCAGCAGCATGCATTGATCATCTCAGTGTGGCATGGCTTCACTCAGGTAATGTTTGCTGAATATTGTTAATCTACAGTGCCTGGAATTTTTGTCATGTCTGTTATAGAAAATGGTAGAGAAGCAGGTGGATCAGAGATAGACAGGACTTTTAGAGGAGAGTTAAATTCATTGAAATACTCTGCAAGAGAATACTTAGGGTATTTGTTACTAATAAGCACATAGTAATGTCCCTAGCTTACTGAGTTGGTAAGGCCTTTTTAATGTAATCATCACTTACATTATATATTGGTAAGAACAATTATTGTCAATTCAATGTTTTGTGTATATAGATGTATTTCGACCATAGAAATAGTTCCAGGAGATTTTTGTTGTTGTTGTTGTTGTTAAAGTAGAATTAAAATCCAATAGCTTACTCTATTATATTCAGAATTCTCTACTTTGTAACGTCACAGGCTTAGGAAACAGATGGATGAAATATGAAAGTGTTGAAGCAGAAAATTTTTCATGTGTTTAAATTTCAAAGAAAATTTAGAGCAAGATGGGTGCCCTAGACCCCTGGATAATGGTATGGAAACATGTCTGTAACCATCAAAGAGAAGGAAACGGAGATGCTTGGTGGTTTGGACACTTTTGGATATAGAGGAAAGTGGAGGTGACTGTGTGTTTTCTTCAGGGGGACTTCCTGGTAAAGTAATGAGAAGTGTAGGAGAGAATGCCCTAGAATGGGGTATTGGCATGACTCATCCTTGAGACTTTCTTGCCCTGGTCTCTCTGCCTTTGTTAGGTTCTCCAGAAGTACACCCAGAGATGACGTATACAATGCAGATCCTGACTCTCAAGCGTTACACAGATGGAAGTGCCTGCCACAGACATATTTTGTGTTCAGAGCTGCTCGCCTCTGCTTATCTGACTCAGGCTGCAGCTGTGGAAGGCCCAATACAACAGCAGCAACCAACTTAGTCAACGACTGTGACATCTCCCAGCTTCCTTGATGGCTTTTCAAAGCAAGGCAGACTGGATGCGCAGAGGGGTATATCATGAATAATGAAGATCCAGTTCTTATGCCCAGAGGGGGGCTGAGTAGAGATGGTAAAAATGTAATAATTAAAATATGCACCCTAAAGTCGAGATGTTGGGTGTTCCGGGTAGAACTGGGGAGAAGTTTGGGGTGAATCCTGAAAGGGTATAAGCAAATAGAATATAAGTAAAGCAGGCTGAGACAAGGAGAGTTTGTATTCTGAGAGGCGGGCAGAAATAAATGGTTGACAGAGGCTAAGCAGTATGACTGACAGTTGAGCAGGAGTGCATGGGACAGGGAACTTGTAGAGGTGGGAGAAAGTGTAAACTGCCTTTGATGGAGGCCTGATGTGTTGTTATGCTAATGCTCTTGGACTTTCCTCTGTAGGCTTCTGGGGATTCTCCTATCTCCACTCTTATCTTGCCAGTGGAGAGTTGGGATTTTGCAGGCATGCATTACTATGTCCTTTTGGAAAATTTGCACCTATTTATTCTGTGTGTGTACATGTGTGCATGCACACCATGTCTTGTGAATGAAAGACAGAGGGTGAATTCTTTCCTTCCTCCATGTGTGTTCTGGAAACAAAACTCAGGTCAGACTTTGTAGCAAGTACCTGTACCCACTTATCCGTCTCACCATCTCCAGTGTCTGGCTTTATGTGGGTTCTGGGGATCTAAGCTAAGGTCTTTCTGCTTGTGTTATGGTAGTTTGCCCATGGAACCATTCCCTGCCTCTGAAATCAGTATTTTCAGAGGGCAGAGTAAAGAGATGACATAGAAGGGAAAGTGGGGTAGCTTTTCCATTGGGAGACACTGAGGCCCATCATTTGAAGATCACTGCCAATTCAGTGGCCTCCTCCCATGGCTTGAGGATGTTGTCTCTTTAGCCATTTGAAGTGGGTATAGGGTCAGTTTTGTACCCATTTGAGCTCTACTGATAACTTATGTCTGGATTTTCTTCGAGAAATTTTTGTTGGCATCTCTGTTGTAGGGGTTTGGAGAGAAGATTTGATTCCATGGCTGCTTTTATTTCTTGCTAGAAAGACACTTTCTCCTAGATGGCACATCAAAAGAAGGCTTGGAAAAACATTCCTTGGGATAGAATATGCCATGAAATGGAAAAATACATGGAATGGAAGATGCATGAATATATACTCAGAGTATGCAGAGAATGGAAGATGCAAGAAATAGAACATGAACATCATGGAACACACATGGACTGGAACATGCATGACATAGAACATATAGGAACTAGAATATACACTGGAATGGAACATGCATGGAATAGAACATGCACTGGAATGAGAGAGAAATACTATGGTCTCATGCCAGCTATTTGAAAACATAAATGATCTCAATATGTGCCAAGTTCATCCTTTTGCTTAGAGATTGGATCAAGTATCAGGTGCAATATAAGTATGTAGCCCTTTAGAGCAAAGTCTATTGTAGAAGATCCAGGCAGCAACAAGTTACAAACTCCTGCAAATATACAAAAAGTGAAAGACAAGGCAAGTAATTTCTTTTCAGCATGCAATCTACAGAACCCTAAGAACCCATCTGTAACCGTTTATGGCTAGAAGCATGCAGACACCAACTCTTGGAGCCATCTATGCAATGCATTCCAGAGCAGCAACGTTGTACTTTACCCTTTGTGAATAACGAATTATTATACAGTAAAGGGAAGCCTGTTCCAAAGAACCACCCATTTGTGCTCAATGACAATAACTTTATTCTTGGATCTTAACCACCCCCAGTTTTCTTGGACTGTGCCTTTTCCCTCCAGATGTGCACAGCATCTTACAAAGTAGGCTACAGACAATGAGGTGAAGGTTTGACACTTAAATGCTGTTTTGTAATGCATGCTTATGTCTGCTGTAGGAAGTATGTTAGTCACATGATATATCTTAATTACTGTGCCTTGGGTGTAGAACGTAATGCTCTGTAGGATTTCTGGGTCCCTAACCACATTCCTACGTCCTTCTTTTCTAGTCTTCATAACACTTGAGAGTGAGTACCTTTAGTTCCATTTTCAAAACTGGGGACTTGGATTGGGGCGATAGCTTAGTTGGTAAGTTAGCCCCTTGAAGCCTAAAGAGCTGATTTCAATCCCTGGAACACAATAAAGTATCCGGGAATGGTGGCCCATGCTTGTAATCTCAGTGCTGGGGAGGCCTCACAGCTAAGCAGAACCGTGGGGTTTGGTGCTCAGCCAGCATAGCCTATTTGGTAAGTTCCAGGCTGGTGTGAGACCATATCTCAAAACAAAACACTGCCTGAGAAATGATATTGAAGTTATCCTCTGGCTAGCACGTGTGTGTGCACGTGTGTGCGCGCGTGCGCACGAACACACACACACACAATCACGCACACACAATCGCACACACACAAATCACACACCTTGATTGAAATTGAACAAATACAAATATACAGTAGACTAAAAGCCCCAAATGTATGCGTTTCTAAGACATCATAGAATCATGAAGAAGTTTTATGTCTAGAATGGGTTTCACTGAACGTCTTGGTGATCACTTTTGCCCCTCTACTCATAACTCATCTGCTTATTTATTATTATTATTCTTTCCCTTCATTCTACTGTTATAGATTCTTTGGAAGGAGTATAGTGCAGACTTGAAAAGACCGTGACAGGGTTCAGGGGTATCTTGTTTTTCCCTTGAAGTTACCATGTTATCGTGTGTGAGCAAGGGTGTTGGTTACATAGAATTGTTTCTGTAGTTAGGACAGAAGGCCACTGTTCTGTTATGGTGGTAAAATTTCCTGATAAAGGTGGCATAGGGCCGGGGAGGGCTTCATAACTCTAGGTTTCCGTCCATCACTGAGGGAAGTTAAGGCGGGAACTCTGGCAGCTGGTCATCTCACAGCCAGGAGCAGAGAGAAATGAATACACACATGCTTCCTGCTTGCTTGCACCTCAGCCATTCTCCTCTGCCCTACCAGCACATTTCCCATGTCTTCCCCCAACTAGGCTATCGGAACATCCCAAATTCCCGTCATTCATTGTCTCTACCGCACAATTCCTCCACTCCACGTGACAAGGAGGAAGCCATCCACACAGGCCCATGAGAGCCACAGCTCTCACTGCATGGTCTTTCTGCTAGCAGATGCTTACTTTGAAGAGTGGCTTTATTATGATGTGCTTTTTAAAATTGGCATCTATTAGATAGGATATCATTCTATGCGAAGCTCAAGGGTAATGAACTAAATAATTCCCAGGGCTGGGGATGTGTCTCAATTGACAGATAGCTTGCTTCGATTGCCTAACAACTCAAGTTTGATCCTGAGGAATTACAGGGTCTCCTGGCACAAGCCTGTAAATCCAGCTCTCGAGGTGGAGGCAGGGGGATCAGAAGTCCAAAGGCATTTAAGGCTAGTCTGTGAAACAGGAGATCTCATCTAAAAACAAAAACAGTGAACAAACAAAAACCCGAACCCAACTCTTCATGACTAAAAGGAGTTCTTGATTTCATATGACAGGGAAGCATAATGGACAGGGACCAACAGTTTCCAGGGTGGCTGGTGGCTGGGTTAAGATCGCCAATTCCCCTGTTTCTTCTGCTCCACCAAATTGCCTAAAGAGGGAATCACAGTGGTTTAACCTTGAGTTGATTCACCCAATAGTTAATATAGCTGGTGTCTTCTTATCCCCGCCCCTATAAACTGTCCTTCACTGTCTACCCAACTCCCACAAAGCTCCCGTGTAAATCCACTCAACAATGACTTTTTCCACCGGCTGCATTGGAAGAGAGAGAGAGAGTGTGTGTGTGTGTGCTCGCACGCACGCACGAGAGAGAGAGAGAGAGAGAGAGAGAGAGAGAGAGAGAGAGAGAGAGAGAGAGAGAGAGAGTGAGAGAGAGAGAGAGAGAGAGAGAGAGGGATGGGGGAAGAGAGGAAAGAGGAGAGAGGGGAGAAATCTGTTCCACACAGGTGTATCCTGCCTCCCAGAAGAAGGGCTGCCTGGCTGCATGCCATGGAACTCAGTTTTGCATGCTGCAATGTGAGGCTCCAGGTAATGCCACCAGTTTTCACACAGCCCAGTGCGAGGGTGCCACAGCCACTCACTCTAAAGGTGACTATCTCTCTGTCGACGTAATTACAAAAGCTAACTTCAAAACCTGAAACCTTGCTTGCTGGGAAACTGCCTACGGACACAAAGCACACACAGACCCTATCGCTTCGGAATCCAGTCTTTTCCAAGCTTTTTTGTAAAGGAGTTTTTGTTTGAGTCTCCAGGATCGTATCGGAGAAAGAGCAGGTCCAGGTTAGCAGATGGCTTGGAGCAAGCCCCTGGGGAAAGCTGTCGATGGAGGTTCGTATATAAGTATCTTGTAATTTAGCTTGGGAAAACTAGGGAAAATGACAGCCGTGCTCCAGTATAGATGGGGCAAGGCTGGAAAAGAAAAAGAGCAGGAGAGAGCATCCCACTGGAGTCCTTGAAGGAGGTGTTCCTCTATGCTCAATCTACTCTGCTGGCGCTCACCACCCTCTTAATCTGAGGGCTGAATACTATAATCACCACGCAGAGTGTGGGGAGATGTTTATTTTTATCCCAACCGCCAACATCATCACAGCATGCTAGATCCAATTTTACACTGAGCATCTGCGCACCGTGTGGCCCTGCTGCCAGCCCAGCTGCTTTCCCCAAAGCTGAGCTGCACTGAAACCCGTGTTTTACCCCAACAGAGTATGTGAGATGAAAACGAAGGAGTGAAACATACAGTCACAGAAGCTGGCCTGACAGATATGTAACTAGTGGTCCGCTGTTCACTGGGAGACGGCCTGAACTGGGACACAGCTCCTAGAGACACAACCGATTCTCTCCCCGCTTTCTAACTAACAGAAGTTGATTTCTGGGGTGGCTGTGTGTTCAGCTCAAAGGTCGAATTTCTCTTGAGCCGGGTGTGGCCCTGTGACCAGGCTCTGGCTGATTAGAGTGAGACTTCCAGGAAGGCTTCTCAGAAGGGAGGGCAGGCAGAGGGAGGGAATGCTGTCCCGGGCGCTCAGTCTCCCTGCAGTGGCTGTGGACAGATGGGGGTTTAGCACTCTGCTTAGTCTTGCTGCCTTCTGAGGCTCTTTTCCCTACGCTGAGCTCCAGGCACAGAGGTAAAGGGGATCTCAGGCCCTGCAAACTTGCTGAGTCAACCCTGCACCAGTCCTGACCTGCCTGCTTTAAGACTGCCCTCCCTCCCTGCCTGCCTGCTGGCTTCCCTCCCTTCCTTTCTCCCTTCTTTCCTTTCCGGAGAGAAAAATACCTTTGGGCACATAAGTCACCATTTTTAAGTTCTGTATCAGGGCAACCAAATGCAGTTTTCTAATTGTTGTGTCAACCCAAGGTTTAATATTAACAGAGATTGGATTCCAGGTCTTACAAGACACAGTGCAGGGAGCTTTGAGTAAATGTGCAAAAAGGCTGACTGCTCATACCTTGCTGGGGAGTTACTATATTTACCAATCACCTCTGAGTTCACACTCTGATGGAGAAATTTTAATGTGGCTTTGTGCTGGGTTTAAAAGACTTTTATAAATGGAACCCATGCCTGCTTGTCCTGGTCGGTCTGTTTAATCTGTGACAACTGAGCACATATTCACTTGTGTCTTGGTTTATTCCTCCATGTCTGTTATGTATGAGGTACAGCTTATGATGTTGGTGGGGTCCTCAGAGACAAATGAAAACCCTGACTTTGAACTGATATGATAATAGCAACAGCAGCAGGACAGCACTTATGCAATGCTTTCATGTAGTGTTAGTAACTGTTCGTTGAAATAGGCAGCTCTCTGGCTCTCCTTGTTATCCTAGCATAGCTAGAGATGTGCTAAGAAGTCAACAGCTGCTATCAAGTTAAGAGTGAACAATGACGCTGCCGTTTTCCTAAGGTGTGTTCACAGCTCTTGACCTCAAGACAGCAAGCAGAGAGTTTCATCGTTTATGCACAGGGGCCTGCCCCTTGGTGTAGGGCAGCTCTCAAGTATGGTCCTCAGGCAGTTGAGCATCACCCACGGAAAAGTGGAAATGCTACCCTATTGGCTTCCTTGAGGGCGGGGTCCAGCAGTCTACTTTTTAATAAGCTCTCTAGATGATTCTTCCATCCATCATAGTTTAGGAATTGGTGTTGTAGCTGATAAGCAAGTGAAACTTCACTAGTTACTTATTTGAATATTTTCAGACATCTCATTACATTTGAAAACAAGCTTTGGATTTGTTTTCTTATACTCCAAGAATCTCCCAGTGTGTGTTATCATTGCTGAGAACTCACACGCTACCGTGACGTGAATGCGCTGGGCATTGCTAAAATGATACAAAAGAGAGGCTGAATCTTTCTGAACTTGCAAACCATTTTTACAGTGATACACACCTCTTTTATTTCACATGTTTCTGAAGAGTGAAAGGTGGGTGTGTTTAAGTTATTGGGATGCAAGGTGTGGAACCAAGGCATTCCAGCATCCTAGCCAGAGTCACAGTATGTACACATTGCTCTCTTGCTCTGACCCAATCTCTGGACCTCCCTTTACACAGTCTGCCAGGAAGTCGGCTTCTGAGAGGATATCTTTCAACTTCAAATATAGAGGCACAATTTAGTTAAGGAAACAGCAACAACAACAACAGGCAAACATAAACCCCAGGGAGGGGAAAAAGAAGGTAGTTTCAGATCTGAAAATAGGATGTATCTGGATCCACAAGCACAAGGCAGCGAGAGCTAAGTGGGAATTTCTTGAGCTTTTGAAACCTCAAAACCCACTCTTAGTGACATCCTCCTCCAACAAGGCCACACCTCCTAATCTTTCCCAAACAGTGTCACCCACTGGTGACCAAGAATTCAATATATAAGCCTATGGTGGTGACCAAGAATTCAATATATAAGCCTATGGTGGCGACCAAGAATTCAATATATAAGCCTATGGTGGCGACCAAGAATTCAATATATAAGCCTATGGTGGTCACTCATGCAAACCTCACGCCTTCTTTGTATACAAGAATGTAAAGATTTAAAAACAAAGAAGGTTGCTTAGTTCTTTCTCCTAGTTTGATTTACCTCCGATAACTTTTTATCACTATTTCTGGGGCCTGGCGGGTGTGGGATGCAGCTGGTCGTGTGGGTCACCCTGGGGTTGCATCAAAGATCTCAGAGTGCTTATCTTTGCTTGCATCCTGAAAAGTCAATGTCAGCTCAGATTCATTGAGGGCACTGTTGTAAAAGCTAAGCAAACAAAGGCAAAACGTTAAATAAACGTTGGAGCTCTTTGTGCTAGGAAGCTTGGAAGCGGGGATCTACCCCGTGAGTGCTTGAATACCTGGGCTGTGGATGGCAGCTCCCACCACTGTGAAAAGGGCACTCAACCTCAATAAGTCACTCCCCAACAAACGAAAAGGCTGGGGTTCAGTAGCCACAAGAATAGGCCTTGGCTATAAAAACACAAAACATCCATTTTAGTTATATTTCAAATCTATTTAAAAAAAACTTCCTTTGTGTGTGTGTGTCAGGCCTATCTTCTGTGAAACGGCATTGCTGCAAATTCCTGGCTGGCATGCAACCCGTTATGAACTTGCACTCATCTTCCTGCTTCTGCCTCCCTAGTGCCAGGAATGCAGGCATGTGACACCACCCCAGGCTGGGAAACAGTTTTTAAACTTCTTCTCTAAGGAGTTTGAGTGATGGAGAAATCATCCCAAGTCATTTCAACAGTCTGGTTCTCCGAATTCTCATCTCGGAACCAGACTGCCAGGTTTAGCCAAGAATAAATGGAACTTGGGTTTCAAAACCTTGCCCAGTCAGTATTTGGTTTGTGTGCTTTGAAGATGGAGATGTGAATTGCAGCAAACCTCAGGCAACATTTACCAACAATTGTTTTGGCATATTAGGCAAGAAAATTCTTCATGGCCAGGATTCCCAGAACCTTCCCTTTCCTTGTCTGAACAGCCGGAACCGCACAGCCCTCCGCGGCCCTCTTATCTGCCCAGACGTTCTTTGATCCACCCACCTTCAAGAGAACAGGAACAGGGTTTGTTTGTAGGCACTGCCACACCCCACATGGAAACAGTTTAAGTTGTGCATTTGACTCGACAAATTAAAAACATCTAAAAATAACACCCCAGAACGTGTTGTTTATCATTTCTTTTGAATAAAATGTGAATTCCGGTTTGGGTTTAAAAAAAACAACAAAACAAAACAAAACAAACAAATGATCTTGCTGAGGAAGCTTCTTTTCTGGCAATTTGAGATTTTTCTTTCCCTCTCCACATCCTCTTTGTTGTCATTGAAAATATAAGCAACACACTGAATCAACTAAATCTATTAAAGTCTCCTTCTGGTAACAATTCTTGTCATCTTAGAACTTGCAGATTGGCATTAGTTCTTTAGATATTGTAGGTTTTTTGGTGGGGGTGAGGGGTAAAGAGCTTTGGATTCATCTGTAAGAAGAAATTAATTTCCACTTGTGTTGTAATCATAAGAGAAAGCAAAATATACCCCTAAAGGAATGGTTGTATATCTAAGTATATCTAATCATTTCCCTTGTAATGGAAAACAATAGCAAGGGAACCTGAACTTTTATTGTCAGTTCCTCAATATGACTTATTCTCGAAGAGAGAAGATGTTGGAATTTTTGGAACTTGTGGTGGTTAAACAAGACAGGCCTTTGTAGGCTCATATGTGTGAAGGCTTGTTCCATGGTTGGTGGAACCGTTTGGGAAGGATTAGGAGGTGTGGCCTTGTTGAAGGAGATGTGGCCTTTGCGGGAGGAGGTGTGGCCTTGTTGAAGGAGATGTGGCCTTGTTGAAGGAGGTGTGTCACTGGGGCTGGGCTTTGAGGATCTAGGAGCCTACACCATTTCAGTCCTTTCTTTTTCTGACTCCTGAGTCTCATTATGTAAGCTCTTAGCTACTGCTCCAGTGCCATGCTTACCTACCTGCTGCCATGTTCTCAGCCATGATGGTCATGGACTCACTCTCTGAAACTGTAAGCAAGCTCCCAAAGAAATGCTTTCTTTTATGAGTTGCCTTGGTCATGGTGTCTCTTCACAGCAATAGAAAAGTAACTAAAACAGAACTCAGTAATACTGGAAATATTTTAATTAATAAGTATACAAAAATGAAAGAATTGGGTTGAAATATCTCGTATCATTTCTGGAAATGAGTTCCAATTCAAACCACATGGGAAGCATACAATCTAGTTTCTAGATGAAGACTCTAATAGTCTTACTTTGAAATTGGGACATCGCCCTTTTTAGCAAGTGGGCACATTAAAGGACCGCCCTAATCAATTGTTCTTTGATTGGAACCACACTAAAGTTTAAGTTCTTTCAGTTATGAAAAATGACAATGTATGGCCTAGAACAAGGAGGGTAGAATAGAGTATTTCTAAGTTGAAGTTAGATTCATCAATGTGACAAGCAAAATATGTTTTGTGTTTTTGTAGCTCTTGTGTTAGAGCTCTATATCAAAACTTGTGTGCTATGGAATAATCCTTTTGTACACTGTGAAGATTCTTCATTGTGATTGGTTTAATGAACAAGCTGACTGACCAATAGCTTGAACAGAATAAGGTTAGGCAGGAGAGCCAGACTAGGAGAATTCTGGGAAGAAGAAGGACGAAGTCAGGAGTCACCAGCCAGATGCAGAGTGAGGAGGAGAAGAACGTGCCATGCTAGTAAAGGTACCACCATGTGGCAGATCATAACTAAGGAATATGGGTTAACTTCAAAATGTAAGAGCTAGCTAGTAACAAGCCTGAGCTATTGCCTGAGCATTTGTAATTAATATTAAGCCTTTGAGTGATTATTTGAGAGCAGTTGCAGGACAGAAAAAAACTCTGCCTACCTTGTGTTACTATTTCTGTTGGAAAAGAAGTTGTGAGTATTGATGTTAACCTTGAGCTAGAACCTTTTCCTTCATCCATTCTTAGGTTTGTGTCCATAGGCAGTGTCTCTAACACCTAATTTCTCAGTTGTAAAATAGTTAAAACAGTAGCCAATGATGTGGTTTTGTGCTGACTGAATGAGCAAATATGTAAATCACCTGCCATTAGATACCATTATCTCACTGTCCTCAGCATAAAATCAGTAGCCTTGAGAACCTGTCCACTTGGTTACTCAGTGAACCTCTGAAAGTGTTCTGGGTGTTTTGTCTCTCCTGACTTATCATTTCCAACCCCCTTTCATCTGTGTCTTTCCATCCCTATTCTTCTATCCATGATCTAGTGTTCAATTCATACTACACAAACCTCCCGCTTCAGGCTTCTCTATTCTATCTGACTTCATTTTTTCTCCACAGCCAAATAACTTCTTGATCCTAAACACTTTCTTATTGCCCGAAACAGTTCAGATATGTAGATTACCTATAAAAACACTAGTATACAGTTATTTTTAAAAGAGAAAAAAACAGTTCCCTTTGAGTTCGTGATCATATTTACTTTAAAAATTATGCATTTTGGCTGGAGAAGTTGCTTGGTGGTTAGGAGCATTTGTTGCTCTTCTAGAGGGCCCTGGTTTGATCCCTAACACCTATGTGGCAGCTCATAACCTTATGTAACTCCTATGCCAGGGGATTTGATTCTCTCTTCTGTTCTCTTTAGACACTGCCTGCAAATGCTGCACAGACATGCATATGGGCAAGCCACCCATACTCATAAAATAAATAGATCGTTGAAAACATTCATTCACGATATATCACTCTATATTCATTATACGGAATTATAAACAACCGTGCCCAGCTTTGATGATGTGCTCCTCCGTGGGTGCACTGGTTTCTCAAGGCCTCAGTCTCTTCATCCGTAAGATAGAGACAGTCGGAGAGCTTATTCTTGAGGCCCCTTCTAGTTTTGAAAACACCCTGTGGAGTAGTAGCTCTACAAAAGGGAAATGTCCTTCCAGAACTGGCTAACCAGGGAACATAGTTGACCACAGATCAATATTCAGATTGCCCCCTTATCTCCCCTTTGCATCATGAACACAGTCTAATGCACAGCAGCATGGGTGGGAACTGCTCTCTCCTCTGCCTTCTCTACTCCTTCAGCTAAGCAATGCTCTTAGATGACCCCCTTGTGTGCCCTTGGTTGACCTCTCCTTGAGTTTGTGAGATAGCTGGGCAGGGTTAGGTATTCAAGCTCTGGTCCTGGAAAATAACAAATCTATGGTGTTAGAAGCAGACCATAGACTTCTCTCTGCTGTGTGGACAATTGGGAGCAGTCTTACGAGGAAAGCTTCTCTAACCAACAGGTTTGTTAGCCTGCCAAGGGGAAGTTCAGGGACAGGCACGGACAGAGAAATGTTCTTATTTGTCCACTGTTGGATTTGCTTTTGAGGGTAGGGAAAAAGTGTCTCATCCTCCTAATGATGGTGGTCTGAGGAGCTGGGACAGAAGATGCTGTTTTGAAAAGTTAATGTGAAGTCTCACTGTATGCTAAGCACTTAAGGCACAGCTAATGGGAACTTTCCAGGGAAAGGGGTGGGTGTTAGTAACATGAAAATATGTATGAGGAGCCCTGAATGAAGGCTTTATGTGATAGAGTTGGAAGGCTATAGGGCCTCAGCTGCTGGGGGAGGGTCGGGAGGGGAGAGAAGGGGACTGGGAGATGTAGAGGGAGAGAAGGGGTAGGGAAGAAAGCCTTTGTGGGCCGCTTGTTTGAAGGGTCTAGAATGAAGGCTTGGGGGATACTTAGCAAAATGAGAGGATTCAGTGATTCACACACAGAGTCCAGATTTAATTCTGAGTCTAGAGTTCTGCTATTTTCTTATATCAGAAGTTTGCACGGTAGAAAATATATACGAGATGCTTTAGTAGCTAAGGATCACGTTTGCACTATAAAGCTGGTGTTGGTTATAGTGTACTGACAAAGAACTGGACTCCTGGGTGGATGAGAGAAGCTGGGTTCCCACACAGCCCAGGTGGATACTGCTAAATGTTTGCTTAGTGTATTGCTCTGAAGTTTAGCTTGTGTCCCTTTACTCTTGGTAAAGCATGGGAGTTCAGTAAACAGAATTCCCCAATAAAGGCCAGAGGGGATGGAGCAGACTCTGAGACCGCCAAGTGCATCAGTTGTCAGCTCTGATCAATGGTTATACACTTTTGGGGGTATGATGATAGTACATACTTATGAAGTTTCTATGTTGTTCAGTTATCATGCTTGACATTCTAATTTTAGCTCCAATCTTTCCACTTTGGCTGAAACAGCTGGTTCAGTATTGCAATTCTAGATAAAACAGGTTATTTTTAGGAGTCTACTATCCCATCGCGATACAAGAGTGATAAAGTCTGTGGGATGCTTCATGGACTGAGTTCCAAACTGGTATGAGAGCATCCACCCACTACCTACCTTTGCTATGCAGATTTTGCCCTTGCCCATCAGGCAGGGTGGTGATGACCTTTGCTACCTTTGTGTAATGCTAAAGTTTCATAGTGACTTGGCCTGAATCTGGTTTTGATTTTGGTTTTTATTCATTTCCCACTAAGTGGATACTCACTGGCCTGAAAGGTATTTTTACTTTTTGCCTGAAGCAAAACAGAAAAGAACAATATATTGAAGTAGCAGACTCAGCCACCATGGCTGCCATGATGGGGTTTATTTCTGGGTGAGGGAATTAAGGAGGGAGGGCAGTGTGGAGCACAGCTGGTCTGAGCACCTACTACGAGCATTGTGATAGGAGATGGATAAGAGAGTTTCTGTCTTGCATGACCGTGCAGGCTGTTCTTATGCCAACTTGGCACACAAACCAGAGTTATCTGAAAGGAGGAAACCTTGATTGAGAAAATGCCTCCATAAGATCCAACTGTAAGGCATTTTCTTAATTAGTGATTGATGGGGGATGGCACAGCCCATTGTGGGTATTTCCATCCCTGGGCTAGCATTCCTGGGTTTTTACAAGAGAGCAGACTGAAGAAGTCTTGGGAGCAAGCTAGTAAGCAGCAGCCCGCCATGGCCTCTGCAGCAGCCCCTGCCTCCAGGTTCCTGCCCTGTTTGAGTTCCTGTCCCGACTTCCTTCCATGATGAACAGTGATATGGAAGTGTCAGCCAAATAAACATTTTCTGATCCAAGTTGCTTTTTGATCATGATGTTTCATTGCAGCAATAGATACCCTAATGAAGACGGATGACCTCAGAGTCTGGCTAGTGAAGAAGCGTGCACATATTGAGAGCAGAAGACAGCAAGCAGATGAGACTGCAGCAAGTGAACGGATCTCCGAGGGATGCTTTATAAAGATTTAACATCATCTGGAAGCTGAGCTAAATAAGTTCATCCCATCGGAGGTGCCCAGCAGGAAGCAAGTTGAGTCTTTGTGCACAGGGTCATTTTATTTCAAGAGGAAAATAGCCTGCCCCCTGTTCTGTTTTACCTGGAAATAGCATCACCTTCACACGGCTGAGGACTTGGGCCTCTCCTGAGGCGTTTGTGTACGGAGTGGGAAATTGGAACCATTGATGTGCATCTGACAGGCGTTAGTCCCCCCATCCCCGCTAGCTCTTCTGTAAATGATGCGATTTCTTTGTTACCCATGCACAGAAAACTATAGGTAGATGGTGTCTTTGAGAGTAATAGCAAATTTATCTGAGAGAAGCTGTCTCTGAGTCTAACATCAAATTATCCCTATTTTGGGTCCTCATACATAATTTACTTTTGTTGTCTACAGTTGTGTTTGTTCGTCTCTTCTGAACTGCCCCTCTGCTTGGTGGTGGGGCTACCTTGGGTTTTTTCTTTCCTTCTATAATTTCATTTTCAGAAGACCTATCCCCAAATTCCTACTCGCTTCAGTTTTCTTCCTTTACCCAGTGAGATCTGATATTTCTCAACCAGCATGATAATTGCCTATGGGTATTTTCTGTAAGTGTGTATGCATATGTTATGCATGCATGTGTGTAAGCATGTTCACATGTATGTGGGCACACATTCTTTGCTGAGGTCCCTGATGTCACCAGCACTGGAAAGCGGACTAGGTTTCTAGTCCTAGACCTGGTTTCCCTTCTGTTGAGTGGTCCTTAAGTCCAATCAGACAGCTATTGGGTGTCACTGACATGTGAGTACTGGTCATTGTCATGGCTCATAGGTGTCATAGCTGGGTAGGACTGTTTAATGCTTCCCTCCCTTGGCAGATTGCATGGTATTTTCTGGAACCATGGGGGTCCAGACTACAGAAAAGAAGCTTTCAGGTCAGACCCAGCTCAACGGATTTGAAATATGTATCCTAAGTGTAAGGTGTCTTCAGCAATAGGGGCCCACCTTCAATCCCTGCGAGGCAACAACAAACTACATTAATAATTTATATTGACTACCCCGACCAACCATTTGAAAGGGATTTTCTTGCGCCTACTATTGAGAATTTGTCAGCCTAAATGGTTTAACTTCCTTAAGATAGCACACACACACACACACACACACACACACACTTATATGTACTGTGTATAATATTAGGTAAGTAGAAAATAATAGTTTCTTGAGGTTTTATCAAGCAAGCTTGACCTTATCCTTTCCTTCCTTTCTCCCTCCCTCCCTGCTCTGACTAGGCTTCTTTGCCTCTGTAGGGACCTGCACACAGATTGCTGTTGTAAATTCAGACTCCCCACCTTGAACTTCCATGCTGGATAACTGCCTCCAGCAGGCAAGCGACTACTTTCCATCTCTAGATTTCTGCTGTGACTCTTTCATTTCTCTAGGTTTGATCTTCTTGGTTGTGGATTTCTTGGTTTTATTTAGTTATTCTTGATTTTCAAAATCCGAGAACGCCACTGACTTGGAGAAATCTGGTAAAGCACTCCTGGATCAAATGAGAACATTGCATTCTTATTTACATCCCTATATAATGCCTTTCCCAAAGATTATATGGGACTTGCTTGTTTATTTACCTTTGTAGTGCCAGGGATCAATTATTTAGGACCTTCTGCGCATGTGAAATTTCCTATCACAACTTTATTTTCTGAATAATGTTATGGCTCCATGTTTCTCAGCAACTGATGTTTTTAAAAAGAAGATAACATGTTTTAGAAACTTGATCATAATAATGTTATAAGTTAGGCAGCCTGAAGAAGAGTTCACAGAGACATTTCTAGTAGTGGAAAGAAAGGTAAGTCTATAACTGACCCTGGTGCTTTGATCTTTTCATGGGAAGGTTCATTTAAAAATGACCACAGAAGCTTACCATGTGTAGTACCATTTCAGAATAAGTTTTAGAGTGTAAGTGACATAGTAGATCCTGTTTGCACATAGATGTGGGTGTAGCCTGTAAGTCTGTCTGGTGAGCTTGGATGAAGACCCCAACTGCAGAGCAGAGTTGAAAGAGGCTGGGAAGGGGTGGGTTTAACTAGAGGAAAAAGGCAGGAATGGGCCAGACTACACACAACACAGAAAAGCCCGATGGATCAGTGACAGGCCTTGGAGCTTCCAGACTTTAGATTCCTAAAAAGATCCTCTGTGGAAGAAAGACAACCCTCTACTCTTCCTTCCAAAGGAGAAGAGTCCTGGCCTGGAGGAGAGGGAAGCAAAGCTCAGATGGTAGGCGAACTGTGTTTGGGCACCAGCAGCCTGGACTGTTTGGGGCATGGCAATATCATCAGGACTTCTCTTTGGCATGGCTTCTCTAAGCTCCAGCCCCAGAGTAAAGGAGAGCCACTCCCCTGAGCCACAAATACCATCTGGGCACAGGACAGATGGGCAACCATCCTAGTCTCCCCGGCTTCCAGGGCTTCATAATTAACATCAAGAAGTTGGATCGAAACAGTGCTTTTTCCCAAGCTTTTGTTTTTTGGGAGTGGTTGAATTTTGAATTTGTCATTGTTGTTTAGTTTTGGAACTGTGAAATCAAAGATCAAATATTTACATGGGAAAAATGAGACCCAAAGATTTCTAAAACCTTAGAAGTTTCTGCTGGTTCCTAAGCTGGATTCCACGTGATAGCTTCTTTAACCACTCCATCCCGATGGGCTTCAGACTTACTGGTAATTGTTTCCTTGACTTTCTTATGGAGTTTTTATTATGTATGTGGGCATCTCTAAATAATGTCGGTTATTGTTTACTCTTGCTATAATATCCATGAGCTTTCTCACGGCTTTCTTTTTTTCATTCAACATTGTGTTTGCAAGACACAGCCAAGCTGTGGCACATTACAACCCTGGATTGATAATTTCCTTGCTGCATGATTTTATGTTGTGTGATTTGTGTGATTTTGCCACTCTGTAATGTGTTGATCCTTTGTGCCCTCAATAGACATTTAGGTCACTTCTGGTTTGGAGCCATTGTGGACCAGTACAGTCAGCAAACATTCATATCCATACAAGCTGGGGCATATGTGTGCAGATTACTGGAGGATTAGTAGCTGGGAGCAGAACCACTTAGGCTCACTCCTTACTGTTTTCCAAGTGGCTGGAGTGTCTGTTTTCTTCCATGAACAATGCTCTACACAGAGGCTAGGAGCAATAGCGGCTGTGCTGCTGTGTTTGGAGCAAGGTGGAGTTTGAGTCTTCTCCATGTTAAATGCACTGTAGTGCTTTGTTTTCATCCACGTGTATCTTGTTTTCTGATAGTTTCCAGTGTTTTCATGCTGTATTGTAAAACAAAGGATTTTAGTCATTTCTCCTTCCAAGGAGCAAAAGAGATCTTGACTTAACGGCTCTCAAGCAGCATCTTTGCTGAGGTTGATTTTAATACAGCAACGCACGTTTATGCTTTAAGCCAGACAGTTCCTTAAGGATGTTTCCATTACATAAAGAATGAGAGAGAGAGAGAGAGAGAGAGAGAGAGAGAGAGAGAGAGAGAGAGAGAGAGAGAGAGAGAGAGAGAGAGAAGCTAATTTCCTTGTGGGCTTATCTGCCCTCTTTTTATGATTCTGAATTAGCTTGGCTTGGGTTTTTGTTGAAAGCAGGAAAATTATATAAGAGGATAGCTGAAATTGATTGGATTAAAATATCTGACTGGCTTACATTGGAGAGGACAAATCAAAACATGGAGTGCTGTCTGAGGCACAAGGTGAACATTCTTCCAGTATGTGACATACTTGGATGTTGACCGTCTTGTGGGCATGAGACCATAGTGAAGGGGTTCAGAGGGTCCTCGTGCTGTTAGGAGTTATCTTTGCCAAAGTGGCAAAATGTCAAAATGGAGACTTTCCACAATGTTGCCCTTTGCCAGAAGCAAAGACTAAAGCAAATGAGAGCTGGAAGAGCCTGGGCAGCCGACAGGCCAATGCATGTAATGCATATCATTAAAGATAGTTAGCACAAAGCAATGGTTGTTACTGTGCTGCGTCCAAGTAGGACTTAATAGCTAATTAAGTAGAAGCGCCTTCTTTTTTCCCCCATGGCCATATGCAGTTTTTGAATTCTTACACCACTAACTGTTTTAAAGAAGAAGTTAAATGCAGAATGCATTGAGTTTGATAGAGTTTAAAGGTCTGTGTTTTCCCACCAAAGCTATTTAATATCAGCTGCAGAGTGGGTGTGTGTGTGTGTGGAAGGGTTGTGACCTCCCGTAGTTTTACAACCATTGCCATGATTTCATAGTACTGGCAGCAGTCACCCAAAGTGAAGAAGTGGACTTTATTACAGTAATTATATGCCAGAATGTGGGTATTAAAACAGAAATACTTCTCTACTGATAATTAAATGTCAAAGGAAAAATGACTTTACCCAACCAGCAGTCCTTCATTGAGTTTTCAGTGCACCAATGGGCTCAGTGAAGACAAGGTTTTATCCACAGGATAGAAGTTCAGATTCTCTGTAGCCTTTTGGCCTTATTTTCAAGATGGTCAGTACAGCAGCTGGAGAGCAGGGGCATGTTCCAACACATTAGGTTGTGTGTGTCCACCCCCCATGTAAAGTCACATACATGTTAACTCGGGAAGATGTGGCCATTGGATTTGCAGACAGATTGTGACTACCACTGAATTACATTGCTGTTTCTGTTTTCTTGTGGTGCTGGGAATTGAACCTAGGGCCATGTACATGCTGGGCAAGCACAATACCACTAAGTCATATCCCCAGACCATATTGGATCGCTTCATCACTTTTCTCTAGAATGTTTTTAGACATTTGTGAGTGCTGGAAGAAAAAAAATATGGTTGGAGAATTATCTTTAATATGGTAGTTTTCTGACTTATTTAAAAATGTAAAAGCTTAAATAAGAACCTCAGAAGGGCTGGATAAGTACCAATAGGCATAATTTTAAAAAACAGTCATGTGCTAAAAAATATGTTTGTGGCTACTAAATTATACTCATCAAGCATTAACTTTGGATTTACCAATACATCTCTGAGATAATAAACATGATATATATGCCGAAAGACTTCATAAAGTCACATTTGTTTCACTCTGCAGTTGAGTTTGGTTCAAGTGCCAAAAAACCTTATGAATTTCTTTGATCACCCCCCCAAATAGCTAATGAGTATAGTATGTTTTAGGTTTGAAGTGGGCACTTAGTTCATTCTCTGATGTGCCAATCAGCTTGAGTGGATAAACAGAATATTTGTAGAAAGTCAGTAGCAAAAGCCAGAGAAGATTTGGGATCTCAGTGTTCATCAAGTAATAGTCTAGAGATTGCATCCTTCTTGGGTTTTTGGCTAGTTGTTAAGCCATATGGATGATTTGAAAGTGATCTTGGATTTTTCTCAAATGTCTGTGTTTAATCCTGGATGCAATCCTGGGTGATTTTCAGTTTGAGGCCCACATTGTCTTCTTTTTGGTCACATGGAAGAGCCCGGGTTCAGTATGTCTGGAAGTAAGTTGCTAGTGGATTCTGAACAGGGGAACACCTTCAGGGATCCCTATGCTGGGAGGCATTGTTCACGCTGATTCACAACAGCCCCGGGTGCTTGCCACTGCCAACAGCTTCATTGCTGGAAGTCCAGACTGGTCCCTAGATCATGACACTGATTCCTCTTCTGGGTTTCCTCTGTTCTCTACAGTGGGTTTGTCTTCAACAATGAGCTATTCATGGGGACCGAGGGAACTACCCAGGACAGAGGAGACGGCTGCAGACCCTGCGGGCAGTTGGCCATGTTCCAGTTCAGATATTCTTGGGAATGTGGAATTATTTGAATCAAAGGGAAATAAATCTTTTGCAAATGTTAATACAAATGGCTGTGGGAAGATCTTGGTGCTAAAAGAGTAGCTGAAAATTCTTGGTGCCTACTGAGTTATTTTTTTGGCAGGATATACTACGTTGCTATGGGGATATGAAGACACAATAATAGTCATATTTTAATGGTTCTTCTTACAGTGTTGTACTGTGTCCACTTCAGCTGCCCTGGGATGATAAAGCTTGCTCTTTGAACCATTTGCTACTCTTGTGTGTTTTGTTTCTTTCTCGATTGCATTTGAACTTGAAAGCATATCTGTGAGTCTGTTCATAAGACCAACTGTAGCATATTTTCTTTGCACCAGCATATTTTGAAGTTTATATTGCTGACTATAAGCTTCCTATATTATAAGTTAAGTTGGAAAGGGTATATTCTGGGAGATGTGAAAGTCCATGTACTGTTCTATATAATGGAGAGGGACACTGTCTAGTACATGTCAAAGGCCAGTTGGTCTGGGCCATCTCTCCTTTGACACACTCAGATATGTTACTATGGGGAAGTCACTAAACTAGGTCTCGAAATTTGTAAAATAGAGATAATAGTGTGTGTAAGACCTTCAGACCATGTACATGATGCTGCAATGATAAATGGCACACTTGTTGAGGGTATAGGTAACTGTTTATTGTAGAAATTACTTACAAAAGAAAATGGGCAACCCAGATGAGTCAAGTCTTCCACTACCAAACAGCTCTCTGCTGTTCAGTCTTTTATTCCTTCCTCCATACACCTCCTAGCCATGCCCAAAAGTGGGCCCAGCTAGTGGCGTCGTTCCGCCACTCTGTCTCTAGTCATGCCCAAAGTGGGTGTAGTTAGCGGCGCGGTTCTACCCTTTCGTTACCACATCCGTATGGGTCTTTAGAGTGCCATGTGGCTAATGGCGGAGTCCCTACATGTACATAAAATTCTAGCTAGGTTATCACAAGTAATTGCCTCTCAAAAAACTAAAACTAGATCTACCATATGACCCAGCTATCTTTACCCCAAAGATACCAAGTCGACATAGCAAAGATGCTTACCCATCAGTGCTATGCACTGCAGCTGTGGGGTCAAACTTGGCTTCCATCAACAGAGAAACAGATGAAGAAAATGTGGTCTACTGCCCAACAAGAGGGAAATCATGTTGGGTACTGGAAACCTAGTCAATTACTCAGGGCTGGTGAAGTCATGGATCTTGGAGGAGAACCTATAACCATCACTTTACTAAGTGAGCATCACTCCTAACCGCATTCTAAAAGAAAAGAAAACAGGAAAGAAAATGTGCTTTACATACACAGTAGAAGTTGTTCAGCCATGAAAATGAATGAAGTTATGTTGTGTGCAGGAAATGGATGGAACTGGAGATAAACAAATTATCAATTTAAACAAATTGAGCCAGACTCAGAAAGACAAATACCATGTTTTTGTTTTTTACTTGTGGGTCCTAGATTATATATAGATACATAACATCATGTTTGTATAATATGAAAGTAGAAACGAAACTCTCTAGGGGAACCCAGAGCACTTATGCAAGGTGAGGAAGAAGAATGGAGAGAAGAAGAGAATAGGATCGATGTACAATATATACTTAACGAAAATCTCACATAGCATAGTGCCATATACAATACATATATACAATGAAAATTGAACAATAAAATTTAAGGTTCTGTGTCTCCTTTTCTCTTATAGTTCAGCCTCCCTATGGAATCATCAGTGTTGTGCATGACCTATTGGGAGGACCTTTTATCTTTCTCTTCCTCTCCTGCATCTTCATCTATCTTCCCTCCTTATCCCAGTGATCTCCAAACACTGAAGTGTCCTAAGTTTTCCTTCTTGTCCATTCTCACTAGGTGATGTCATCTGGTCTCATCATTTTCACTGTTATCTGCATGTGAATGATACCAACATCCACATCTCAGGCTGGAGATACATCTTCTTTGTATGTTCAACTGCAATCTTGAGACACACTTCTAATAGGATGTGTCTGCTAATTA